GAGGCTCGCGGGCGACGGCGGCGGAGAGCAGTAGAGAAACGAAAGCGTGGGGCTAGAGGGGAACTCTCGTGGAACATCCGGAAGGGCTAGCGCCGGGGCGCCTGCGCAGTGAGGCGGCGTGCGGGCGACCGAGGAGACGGCGGTGTGGGAGGAAGGGGCTGGCTGTCCCGTGAGGTGTGCAGGGCTCGCTCGCGGTCTGGCTGGAAATGGCTGCACAGCTGCCCCCCAGACCTCTGCAGCAGTGGCTGTGTGTGTGTGCGCCTTGTGGTGGAGGGTGAACTGCAGTTTCTTGTTTCTCTCCCTCCTCTTTCTGGGTGTTTTCTTTCTCTCTTCATCCACCCTAGGCCTTCACTCTAGGGACTGAAGAGTCTTCTGACCCGCATGGGGTGCCATGCACCTTTCCTTCCGCCTGTCCACTCATTTTCTAATAGTATCACCTGCAGAAGGCCATTCTTGATACCGCCTTGCTGGATTAAGGGCGCTATTTGGAGCCCTCAGTGTCCCTCTCCCCGACTGGCCTGGGTGCTTCTTCAGGGATAGGGATGGGGTGTTTATCTGACTCCCCAGTTGTTACCCAGACCCTGCTTGGCAGGTAGTAGAAACTCGACACGTGTTTCTTTCCATACTCAATCTACTCTCAAGCAAAGCCACATCCCATAGACGCTGTATGAAACGTTTATTGCATGTGTGATAGTTTGGCTGAGAATACTACTTATTTTCTGAGCATTATTCAAGGTCTTTCATAAATGCTCTAAAATGTACCCCATCAATAAGGCAAATCACTGACCCATAAACGTAGGAGGTATTCTGTTGACACCCTCTTCCCTCCTATAGAATTTTATGTTTTGATATCAATCTGTGCTACAGAATTTGCTTTAATCAAGTTAAGTTTTGAGATTCTGTTATGCTATGATATTACAAGTAGCCATAGAAACTTGGATCTGGTGTAAGAAGGTTACTACAGTTACATTTATACATGGTATAATGAGTATCCCTCATCTTATTTTGCATAACTCAGTCCAAAAAACTGTTCTGGGTAGAAATGTCACTTTGTCTTTTGCGTTTCTGTGGAGTTGGCTTGTTTTTATCTAATGGCCACTGAATCATATAAAGAAGGAGGCTTCCTTTGCATGTTGGCTGTTACAAAGTTTAGAGCCAAATTTGCAGTGGACTCATGGCAAGAACTATTATAATTATATTTGCATAAACTTTGTTGTTGGCTCTATTTTGTATATCTATTTTTGGTTTTTCTCTTTTCACCTAGTTATTATTTGTGCCATCAGTATGTTTGTGAATCTCTGTAAGCTGCCATTACTCTGAAAACATTTATTTTTTTACCATACTCTTTCTTTAAACAGCAAGGTAAAAAGTTACAGGTGGCCATGTACTCTGGGCACTTTGCACTCTGATCCTCTTTTAGTACAGTTAATGGGGTTCATATTAGTTTCCTGAGCCTACTGTAGCAAAATAGCACAACCTCTGTGGCTTAAAATAACAAAACTCTATTCTGTCACTGTTCTGGAGGCTGGAAATCCAAAATCAGTATCACTGGGCCAAAATCAAGGTGTCGAAAGGGCCATGATGCCTGCAGAGGCGCTAGGGCAGAGTCAGTTCTTTGACTCTTCCAGCTTCATTGATTTGGGGTCATATCACTCCATCCTTAAAGGCTAGCATTTTCAGGTTTCTCTCTGCTTTCTCTTCACATCGCCTTCTCTTCTTATGTGGATCAGATCTCCCTCTTACAGGGATCCATGTAATTGCATTTGGGGTGCACTTGGTTAATCCAGGATAACCTCCCCACCTCAAGATCCTTAATTCATATTGACAAAGGTCCCTTTTCTATATATAGTAGTATTTACAAGTTTCAGGGATTAGGACCTGATATGTTTGGGAAATATTTTTCAGTCTACTACAGCAATGGAAACAGCAAGCTTCTGATATTGGCCCATAGAAACTGTTACTGACCAATGGAAATATGTGGATATTAGGGTGGGCAAACTAACATAACAGAGTAAAATTTAACCTATGGATGTTGACTTCTAGACCTCACTTTACTCACTTGTACCTCCAAGCTAAGGCTTCTTTAAGGACACTTCTGATAATCAGGGGTTGCCTTATATATTTCTATTTTCTATATAGCTCAGTATATTTATTTATTTATTATTTATTTATATCCTCATCTGAGGTTATTTTTTTCCATTGCTTTTCTGAAAGAGTGGGAGGGAGGGGGGGAGAGAGAGAGAAACATCAATGTGAGAATGTGAGAGAGACACATCAATTGGTTGCCTTCTACATGCACCACGACCAGGGCTGGGGATCAAGCCTGCAACCGAGGTACGTGCCCTTGGCTGGAATTGAACCCGGGACCCTTCAATCTGAGGGCCGATGCTCTAACCATTGAGCAAAACCGGCTAGGGCTATAGCTCAGTGTTTTAAAGTCATGGGCTATGAATCATTAGTTGGTTATGAAATCAATTTAGTAGGTTGCCACCAGCATTCAAAGACATTAGAATAGGGAATATCAGAGTGTATCACTTGTAGTGAGGCTAATTATTGTTTCATGAAACAATATGTTTCATAATGTAAAATGTACTTCTTACTCTAGGTTGTGGTAAAATGCCCTCTTCTGTAAGCAATTTCATTATTCATCATATTGTATGACACATATTCCTTGCCATTAGATAGAGCAAGAATTAAAGCTCACATCAACTTCAAGTTCTTATTGTGTGGCATAGTCCAAGGGACAGGTGGATACTTACTCTTTTAAATAAATTAATGTATAGATCCCCTATAAATACTCATTCCTAGAACTGTGTAGGTTCTTGTCTACTACTTCTGCATTTACAATAGTTCTTTTCTCATTTTACTAAAGAAAGGCGTAACCCTCGTGCAGGGTGTAGAACCCTCCAGGATGACAAACCAAGTGACAGTTCAACACACTTTGGGGGAGATTTCCTCTAATGATCAGTGAAGGCTCCATAAGCTCTAGGCTTCCCGTCTTTTCCTGTCTTATCTATATTCCAGATAAGGATGAAGTATGGCTGTAAGAAATATGGTAAGTGGATATTTGTTGTGATTTTCTGAAATCAGATATACTGAATGTGAACACGGGAGTAGTAAATTCCCTTTACTCATCACATCTCCTCCACCCTCTGTGGTTAGGAAGTGCGTTGTTACTGGAGAGTCTGGTGACAGCAAAGCCAAGCCAGCACTAAAGAAAGTATTGAGCCCTTAATTTTTTCCCCCACGTATTCAAATATAAGCAATTTTTTTCCCCAGCCAGTCTCAATACTTGTCCATAGGATGTGTCATTATCTGGAAAGAAAAGCAACTTTGAAGAGCTGAAAATAGTAGAGGTTAGTGACACTGATTACTTTAAATTCGAAATGGATTCTTGTAAGAGACTTTCATATGTTTCACGTTACAATAATCTACAAAAAAAGTCATATATCATTTTATTTTAGGTTTGGTATGTGTTACTCAATAAAGGTTAAAACATTATGAAAATCATTGATACAGTTGACCAAATATTCTCCCCCTTTCCAGGCATAAGGTTGGATGCATTTTACGGTAATTTTGGGATTGGGTAAGGCCGTGTGACTCTTTCTGGCCAGTGAGTTATGAACAGAAGTGAAGTGTCACCTTCACCCATGTGAAACTCCAGAGCTCTTTTCCGTCTGGCACCGGGGGTCGTTGCTCCGTCACCCTGGGCCCCTGCGTGATTACGAGGAGCAGATTCGGTTCTGCCAGACTCACAGACTCAATGTGCATGCAGCTTGGCTTAGAAATGAGCTTTGTTGTTGTAAGTCATACAGTTTTGTTGTTTGTTATCCTGTCTGATTGTGCACTGATCAATTTTTACAGCATATACTTTCGTTCTTCATTAAATGTGTAGGAAAAATGTTACGATGATTTAAAAAAAACGGATTAGAACTATTACAGAATTTTTATATGAGATTCTTATTTATTCCTGAAAGCTGAAAACCAAAGTTAAGTACACACCTAGACACACTTACTAAAGGAGTACCATGCCTTTTATCATCTTCAAAGTCATAAGCAATACTAATTTATTATGTTTATTGCTATTGTGAATTAAGTAAGGAGAGAAAACATATAGGTTTATTCTTGCTTTTATGATATTATAAAAATGTATAAATTAATTCTATTAGTTCCTGCATCATTTTAATCTTGGTACCCTTTAATAATTAAGCTCATGAGGTACATTTGGTAATCTCAGTTTCTAAAAATACACATCAAACTATAGTACAGCCTGGCCGGGCGTGGCTCAGCAGTTGAGCATTGACCTAGGATCCAGGAGATCACGGTTCAATTCCCAGTCAGGGCAGATGCTCGAGTTGCGGGCTTGGGATGTGGGCTCGATCCTCAGTCGGGGGTGTGGAAGAGGCAGCAGATCAATGAATCTCTCTCATCATTGATGTTTCTCTCTCTCTCTTTCTCTCTCTCTCTCTCTCTCTCTCTCTCTCCATTCCTTTCTCTGAAATCAATAAAAATCTATAGGAAAAAAACAAAGAAAAACCCTACAGTACATATAT